CACAAGTATAACACAATGTTTTTTCTGCGACCCTTTTATGTTTTATTATTTTATAATACAAAACAAAATAACCTAAAAACTTTTTTGACAGCTGAATGTTAAACAATGCTGTCAATTTCTTATCATACAGACCTGTCACTTTTCACACAGAAATGTCACTTTACATTCGTGTTTTGCCTTGCCAATGAATAGATTCAATTTCTAAGCAACGATGGCATCATGAAAAGTGACTTTTACATAGTGGTCGTAGAAAAAATAATTTTAAAAATCGGGTAAAGTTATTTAGCTTTTTTACAGTTTTTTAGAGTTTTATGTAATTTGTACATGATATTTAATAGTTCATACAATATTTTAAATATTACTTCTCAAAAAATTGCTTAAACCTATTATAAAGTCCAATCAAGGATGTTCAGTGGACGTCCAAAATACGCCTAATCAGGCTAATCCGGTCTACCTTGATGTTTTATGGATGTTCCTGACCCGTTCGACCTGGCTAAGCCTAGAATAACCTAAATAGGACGTCCCTAGGCCTATAGGCTATTCTGTACTATTACATAAACAAATTTTATATTTAAAATAAAAAACCTCATCTTCTTTCTCCCCTCCCCTTTACTGGACGTTCTGCTGTCCCTGCTTGCAGCTTACTGAGTTCGTCAATTTTGTCAAATTAAACAACAGCTGGTTGGACATATTCGTAATTTGCAGCCAGTTTAGTCTACATTACATTTTCTATGAATATTAAACAAATTTGTTTGAGAAAAAAGTTATAATCCGACCTGAAGTATATCTGTGGTATTATTTAAATATCATGCAAATTTCCGAATATTTCATTATCCTAGACCTATACCAATCTAAAGAAAATATGGTTTAATTTAACAACACTTTATAAATTTAAACAAATAAATTCATAAACATTTGCTCTTTAAAATTCCCCTCATTAACATATTTTTTTAAAGTCTAACCTTACGGTAAATTAATTGATTCTGAACGCTGATGCGACAGCAAAGCGAGCCTATTAAAAATTTGAGTCTAGATTATCCATTCATTACGAGTTGCGTGTAATATTTTGTCTCACAATCAAATAAATATAAGTCATTTTACTTATTAACAGTTATATTAATAATTTTACTTATTAACCATAACAAACAGCTGATCAATTGCAAAAGAATTTACGAAGCTTATTCCAAAATGATCATAGTCTTTATTTCTTTTTAATGAAAATTATTAAATAGGAGTAAAATGTTGTTTCAAATATGTTTGTGAACAATATCATTATGTAAAAATAGCTGTAATTTATTGTTGGTAAATTTTTTTACTTTTTCTTTTTTATTGTTTCACTAGTGGAATAATATTTGTATTGTAATAATAGCTTACTTTGTTTACTTTTTAGGCGTGTAATGTCTCAATTCAAAATAAGTCATAAAAATAAATGTTTTAAAGACCAAACGCATCTTAAACTTAAAAAATGAGATTTGTTAATTTTATTTTATTGTGTATCTGGAATTTGCAGAAAAACGTACATGATGGTAAATAAAAAACCCTAATGGTACGGTCGTACTGTATTTAATTTTTATATATATATGAAACGTACAAAAAATTTAAATTAACAAATAGGTACAGAAAATTTTCTTTGCTCTTTTTCTAATTTAACTTTGCGGGATAGAAATAATGTACAACCATTTATTTGTTGAACCAAAACGCATGCAAACATTATATATTTAACGATGTACTTTATTAAAGGCACAGCCCGGCGATTTCTCCAAAAACAAAATTATTATTTAAATACAGTTTTGATGAAGTATATTCAAAAATTCTTTCGACGGCAGTCACGTTGTAGGAGAAAGGACATATTAATAAGTTGGTTTTTGCATAAATTGTATAAATTATATAAATTGCCGAATGGTACAAAAATCCAAAAGCTCAAAAGAATAAATTTTAATATTCCGTAAAATTACATGTTTTTTGGTCTAGGTACTTAGCGTATAGGCATGCCTATAAAATGAACAATGTGGAGGCAATTGCAATTACCTCCACATTGTTCATTTTTGTATGTGATTATGTAATAATATTCGTACCAAATTTAAAATCTCTAGGTTGCCATTTGGGTACTGGTCGTCAGAAGGTAGGTAAGTATTTTATAAACCATTAATGATTCAATTTTTTTGTTTTTAATGCATAAAAAGTTGTCTTTTTCGTATACTATTTATTTTAAACAAATGATCGTAGTTGAGTTCAAAATTGTAAAAAAATTGGAAAAATATCATAAATTCAAAGTAACTGATTTTATTTACCTGCAAGTATTACGATAAATAACAAGGTAAGTTTTGTTCCAAAATTAATTTATTTTCATTAAATCTAAGAGGTAATATACTAAATCTTGTGTTCGGTAAAAAAAGAGTATCTATAGATACATATATGTATATTTAATCTCTGCAGAGCTTTGGTCTAAACACACTGTTCATTTGTGTTTATGATTTAGACATTACGCAGTTGTGTAAGAATTTCGACGAGATCTCTAAAACCCAATTTCAAGTTTCTCCACAGCACGACTTTCTCGTGGATTAGATTGTCTCCAAGTAGTTTAATTTCACCATTTAGAGGGCAAGATATGCCAGTAAGTTACAAACAGATAGAAGCAGTTTTGACTATTTGGCAGCGAATTGATTCATGTGTAAGAAAACTATTAAAACGATATTTAGTTCATAAAAAGGACCATAGATATATCATTTTTGCAAATATATTTGTCAAAGCAAAAATAATACTGTGCGTAAGGATATGATCAGAAGTGATCTCAAAAATGTGTTTGATGTTGAAAGATGCTCTGATTAAAATAAAGAACCTTAAAGACAAAGTTTTCCTACCAGCAAAGTTCTCAAGTAGCATAAGTAGTGTTGAACTTAATACTAAGGGACAATAGAAAGAAACTTTTAAGAGATTGTAAATAATATCGTATACAGAAAAAAACAGCAACCATTGATGCGCAGAACAGTAATTCAGCCAAAAGTAGCCATTGCTGTTGTCAAAGTAATCCGTAAGGTTTAATTAGAAATTGTACAGTTTCAAATAATTAATTGGATTATTGTTCTAGACATTAATGGTTACTGTTTTCTTTTTTACGTGTATTTAGTTAGTACCTATACTCTTTTAAAATGAATTAGTCAAAAATAACTAATTATAAGTCATATTTCAGTAATTGTCATAGCGAAAAAGCAGTCACTAATAAATAGTCAAATTCTACTGAATGAAATAGTCAAATTAGTAGATTTAAATTTAAAAAAACCTTTGACCCAGCCGGGGATTGAACTCAGATCTGTCACTTGTCAAGCTCGTCAAGCTATTGTCATTCGGCTGTCAGCCGCTCTTATAAAAATCAATTTTATTGGTCAATAAATATTGTTCATAATATTTTAAATTTGAATATATTATTTGTGCTGTTGTTTTGAGCTAAACTTTTTGCATCTTCATTTGTTTTTATGGGTCATTTAACCATGGAGCTTAGGTATACGCATTAAATTTAAATAATACTTTGTTGTTGGCCGCAAACGATTAAAGAAATTAGTTACTTTTAACTCTCAGAAATAGTCAAAGATGGTGACTAATCTTAAATTAGTCAAACTTTAACTATTTACGTAGTAAAAAATAACTATTTAAAAGTGAAAACGATCAGGGCCACAAAGACATGGAAAAATTCCCTTTTGGGCAAATTATATTTTTTTATGGAATTTTTACATTCCTATTCTGAAAACTTCTGAACACTTTTCTAAAGAAGTACTTTCCTAAATTCAATTTTGCTTTTGGAATATTCTTTAACTTTTTTGTTTTGTCTTTTGGGCGACATTGGAGAACGAGTTTTATTTTTGGATATTTTTTAGTAGTTTTATCATTATAATATTAAAATAGGGTTAGATATTTCCACCGGCCTGGGGTTCTGGCCCTGGAATATTATAGTGGTACCTACCCAAATTATATTTATATTTAATTGATAAAAAACTTGTTTAGAATATTTGTTCACTTTCTTACATACAATTAATCACAGACTTTGTAGTAATTATTTTCCGTTCCTTTAAAATGTAATTTAATATAGGTAGGTACTTTAATATTTGTTATTTCACTCTGCATTGGAGATAATGCAGGTGTGAAATACATTTTTCTGTATAATAAAACTGGTATAAATGTAAAAATATTTTAATAATAACGTTATATTTTATGTTCATTACTAACTTTTTAGTTTTAGGATAATGTTAATATAATACATAAACATGCAAATAAGAAAACAGTACCGCCTACTCTATAGAACATTACCTTATAATATTAGGCTAAAAAAAATTACCTTCGTTGTCTGTAATGTAAATGGTAAATAGGCTTTTATTTTTTGTAAAAGCCTAGTTATTTCTATCTCCGATTTCCTTTGCTCATTCTCATTCCTCATTAAAAATTAAAATGCGTCTCCTAAATTTTTATTTTTTCAAATGTTTTTAAATTGTACAATTTTTACATGTAGTATAAAATAAACTGCAATTTGGTTCCTTTCAACTGACCCTATTTATTATATTTTGTATTATGTATTGTGAAATATTTACAAATAAGATAGGGGAACCCTTTTACCACAACGAACATATAAAGTACAAAATAATTTTGGTCCAAAATATGTACAAATTTTAATTTGTTTGTTTGCATAAATACAATATACGTCATTGTTATAATTGTTAAGAAAAGCTGCGTTGAAAGTTTATAAATTGGCAAAGCTTTTTCATCAAAACATGTTTACAAAAGATTTTACAAAATTTTACCATAAAACATTTAACTTAAAGGATTTAAGTTTATTTCAATAAAACAAGTAATAAAACAAGTAATATACCTATGAACACATTTTCAAGTAAGAATAAAAGTAATAAAATTTATTTTACAATTTAAGAACAAAATTTAATCCATGTGTGTTAAATGTACTCTTATTTTTTTATTGTAGTTTTAAGTGTGGAGGTAAACAATAATAAACTTACGTAAATAACGTTATATGGAAGCCAGCACAAGGAATACACGAAAACCACTGTAACCATCATTTTAATCATCTGAAACAAACAATTATATTTATATTGGAACAATGAGTTTTAGGTTGTTAATTATATTATATAATTATATATTGAGATACCTTAAATTGCGCTTGAAAATTAAATATTTTGTCACAGTTGATGTTTTTCGTTTCGATTCTTTGTAAAAAGTTTTCATTCTCAAAATAATTTATTTTTATAAACAATTGCAATTAAATTTTGTCACTTAGAGGTACACCCAAATTTAAACAAAATCTGACAACTTTGGTTTGTTTGTTGCTCAATTAACGTTAAATGCCTATTTTTTTAAAACATGCTTGGTGGCACCCCTTAGTTTTAATATTATGAAAATTTGTCAGAATTACTTTTGTTGAAAGCGATTACACTCCATAGAACCCTAATATACTGGGTGAGTTTTCGGAAACGGTTTAAAAATTTTGTGAAAATTTGGTAAACTAATAGAAAAAAAGGGGACATATTTAAACATACATTTGACATTCTGAGGGACGGGGGGTAATTTAAATTTTTAATAGGGAGATGTAGTTTTTATTAATTTGAATTTGAAAAAAAACTAGGTAGGTTTGTTTGCAACATAATTTTTGATTTGCGCTTTCCGTTACTGAATTATGATTTATTAGATTATAAGATTCAAAAAAATATAATTAAATTACTAGTTTATCGACGGTCAGGTCTGAGAAATTCTTAAAATGTCCCCCTTTAACTTTCAATGAATTTCGTACACTTATAGATAAATAAATTAAAATTATTTTTTAATATTTTATAATTTATAAATCAAAATTCCGTAATCAAAAGCGCAAAACAATGATGTTTTTGCACACATGCCCAGTTTTTTACATATATGAATCTATAGATTCAAATTTAAAAATGTTCAACATTATTAAACCGTTTTGAAAATATCCCCATGTAAGACTTTAAAAAACTCACCCGGTATATAATATATAAATATATAAATTATATAAAAACTACCATGTAGTGCATGGTCGGCTATTTTCACAATTTTTTTCCTTTTTGACTTCCGCTGCCTTTATCGTGAATTGTTTGTGTTTGGAACATAAGTGTATTAAGAAGATATGTTAATATCCTTAACTTAAGAACAAACTGAATTGTTAAAATAAAAGAGTATGGAAAATAAATTAAATTGATAGGCATGGGGCAGGTTAGGCAAGAGGGAGCTGTGGGCCCTAGGGTTGCCAGAAATCAAAATGCCGTAAAAAGAGGAAGTATAAAAAATATATAGAAGATTTAAACAAATCATTTTATGGCATTAGGTATAATTGCTAAGTTATTAAAAATTAAAACATACTAAACATATTTTATTAAATTAAATTAAAATAAAATTATAATAAAATTTATTGATCATACAGTTTACTGCTACATCAGGCGGGCCCCAACTACCTATATATATATAGGTATATATATATATATATATATATATATATATATATATATATATATATATATATATATATATATATATATATATATATATATATATATATATATATATTACAATAAAACTCAACATTTAAACGTTATCGTTTATTTTAAAATAAATGACATTTTAATGTGGGAGACTTTTGAAAATTTTAGTAAAATCCGGCTACATGCTACTCTAAACACGTCGTCAAGGTGTGAATAAGTTATCTGACATCTGTACACATTTTTTGCATATGTGACGCGATCCGAGATCCAAATTTTACATGAGAGGCGATTAAAATTCGCGCGGCATAGGCGTTTGTGTAGTGACGCTCGACTTCAAAAATTAATAGCCATGTCAACTCCATCTAGACCAGCGATACTCAAACTACGGCCCGCGGGCCGCATGCCGCCCGTCACCTCTTTCTTGCGGCCCAAAACCCAAATGCCCAAATAATGTAAAACACTTTTTTTACACAGCCTTGTGATATAAAGAAGGGCAATATTTTTTCTGTATACAGAATATATATTATGTATATTATATTATATTCTGTATACAGAATATATATTATAATATGACGAAATTTTTAATGCTCGTGGACCAGCCAATTACAGTGTAATCTTTCCAACTTTGACTGTGACGAGTTTGAAACGGCCTTAATACGAGCCCCTTTAATACGTTTTTGTAAGAAATGGTGGGGATTTAAAGTCGCGGGCCGCGAGTAGGCAAACACTCTCAAAAAGTTATTTGTTAATCTTGCCTTAGTTTAAAATCACTGCACTGAAAGAAATATATACTAAAGTTAAATAAAAAAATAATTAGGGCAAATATATTTTATGTTTCATATATAGACTACCACATACATTGCTAAAACAAATATATTCGTTTGGTTAGCAGCCTATTGCTGCCCTAGCAATATAAATGGTGTTTCTAGCAATATTTTTTTGCTGTAATTCACTTATAGTTTACATTTTATAGTAAGGGTAAGTTTATTTTTATTTAGATCTAACATATCTTCTTTACAATAAATGTATTACAAAATTTACCATACATTCATAATAAACAGTAGTATAAATGTGTAAAGCACTAGTATAAAATTTTTAGTATAAATTTGTATTTACTTTTAGCAACAAATTTCTTTCAGTGTGACACTTACAAACCGCCGCTCTGAGACAACTTGCTACATTGGGATTTGACAACGCAGTTATTGAATAAATGTTTGAATTTAAAACTGACTCAAATTTGGAAACAATTTTTAAACAAAAAAGTATAGAAAGAATTTTAAAAAGTAGTAAGTTTTACCTGGTACCCGATAACTTTGAAGGCTGAAATGAAATATTGGATGCAATCCAAGGAAAGGGAGGTAGCGTCCAAAAAATGATTTTTCTTACTACCTCGACTCAAAATACGTTGTTTCGTCCCCGATTCCACGGCAGAAAGTTTACGTTTTATGCATTGGTCAAGCTATACGCGCACACTCTAATAGCGGGAGTAAAAATTTTTTAGTCGTGTGCTTAACATTCAAATTTCGTACTGTCAACATGAGAAACACAAAAATATGACAGTTTTAAACCATAATTTTGCAATATAACAACAAATAAACAATTTATGTTTTTACTTTTTTACTTTTTATGTTGTTTTAAGTGTTTAATGGTACTTTTATTTGTTATAAAGTAGTAATTTGTTAATTAAAATACAACGTTTTATTTTTACTGTATTGGCACCGCTGAATTCACGGCCTACTGCTATTTATTTATCAAGCTCTTCAAATGGAGATAGGTACATAAATACACATTTAATTTTTTCCCGTATTTTCGGCCAGGTTGTATTTTCGGCCGAGGTAGTAAAAAAAATAGTATACACTACACGGGCAGAAAGTGTGAGAGCCCTGAACTGCGCGCCATGATGCCCGAGGCGAAGCCTTGTAGTGTAATATACTATTTCAGATTATCATTTTTTTAAGTAAAGGGGTAAACGATCTTTCGAAAGGTCCAGATTATTTTTTGAAGTCGAGCTTCAATAAAAAAACGCCTATGCCGCGGCATGCCGCCCGAACTTCAATCGCCTTTTGTAAAATTTGATTTTTGGATGCTAGGTTTGGTTTTTCGGATCGCGTCACATATGCAATGTGTCTGATGTCGGCTAACTGATTCACACCTTGACGACGTGTTTAGTGTAGCATGGATTTAACTATAATTGTCAAAAGTTGTCCACAATCAAAAGTTTTATTGTAATATAGGTCGTTGCGGCCCGCAGTCATACATATTTGGCCCAAGAAAAAAAAAGTTTGAGTAAGGCTGATCTAGACCTTTTAAAAGTTTTTTTACCCCTCTACTTAAAAAAATGATAATCTTAAAAATCATTTTTTTTGATCGCCTCCAATATTTTATTTTAGCGTTTCAAAGTGATATTGTACCAGGTAACCGGTCCCTACTAATTTTTAAAACTTTTCCTATCCTTTTACTTCAAAGTTGGAAATACTCCAATGTTCTTGGCCGCTCCACAAGCATAACAAATCTCGTCATATTACAGAAAAAGTATTGCCCTTATTTATCTCGCAAGACCCTGTAACAAAAATTGTTTTACAATATGTGAGCATTTTTTTATATAAAAATTGCTGTGGCTAGGCTTTGGGCGGCATATAAAGGGTTTGTCGCAGAGTGTAATAGTTATTTACATATGTCATAAGTTTAAAAGTAAGGCTTTTGTGCTAAGCTCAAGGTTTGAATGCCGACGCGTAGTGAAGGCCTACAATTGATTAAAGCACAAAAGGACACTTCTCAGCTGCATGGCATGCAACATTTTATCTTCAAGGCCTAATTTTATTTGTCAAACAATACATAAAACGTACAATTAAAAAATTTCTACTTTTAATAATTTTTAATTAATTTTTTAATTGTACGATTTTTGTATTGTTTGACAAATAAAATTAGGCCTTGAAGATAAAATGTTGCATGCCATGAGGTTAGATAAATTATATTTTAAATAATTGTGCATTAATATAGCCACAGAGTAAACTTTATTCGTAAGATTATGGGGCTACTTGTCGACAACGTTTCCTCTGAACCACAGACCTAAATTTACCTCACATTATGTTAAACTACAAACTAAAAGAAAAAGCTCTGCATCATATAATATATTTACCAAAAGTTTTTCATTTTACATAGAAAAATTTGCAGGGACTAAATCTTCTTTGGTATGAAAGTCACTATACAGTGTATGGACAAAACATTGTGTATAGTATACACAATGTTTGGTCCACATTTTTTTTTCCATACAATTATTGTTTGCAAAAAACATTGTTGAATCTTGCCTCCACATAGGTTATTTTTATATGTGATTATGTAATAATATTCGTACCAAATTTTTCTTTTGATTTTGATTTTTTATAGTTGTTGGTTGTTTATTAAATAAAATCAAGACAAAATTTTGAATAACCTTGTTTGTTTGTTTGGATTCTGGTCTGATTTATTAATTCCATATCTTTGTTTCTAGTAGAGTACGAATGTTCTCTACTACTGTTACTAAAAAGAGAATATTTTTTTTGTAGAAAAGTAGCGTTTCAAATAGGTATAGAAATAAT